GTATTCTTGATAACAAAATGACTGGGGATAGCATGCCACCTGTAGCTTTATCGAAAATAAATAATCGAATAAAATTTTTAGCAAGACAGGCTGCTTATTTAGATAAACAAACAATGATCATGTTAGCTGGTGCATTAGTGCAACCACATTTCGACTATGCAGTAAGTTTGTGGTATAGTGGCTCTAAAAAACATGTTAAAATAAATTACAGACTGCTCAGAACAGGTTGTGTAGAATCGTTCTGGGGTTTCATCCTCGTATGCAACTAAATAATAACCATTTCAGGGAATTGGGTAGTTTAAAAGTGGATAAAAGAGTAATTTTTATTAAAATTATGATGGTGTGCAAAAAAATTCACTGTTCCTAAATACTTGTGTGACTACTATGTTTTTGTGAGAGATGTTCATTGTATTTCTACAAGGGCAAGGATAAATAATATATATTTGTACCAGTTTAAAAGTGTAGTTGGGAAGAATTCGTTTTTGTACTCGAGTGCAGTTGCTTGGAATGAATTGCCAGATCATTTAAAACAATTACAAGAGGCATGGCCCTTTAGAAGAGAAGTTAAAAAATGGCTTTCCTATTAGGATCCCATAAGAATTTGTAAGGTGTGAGTTGCTTGTTTTTGATCTTATTCCCACTGGAACTGTTTGTTCATTTTATGCATGTAGAGGACCACAATGGAAATATGCCTGAGGCTTTTTTGTGTATTTTATCCACCTCAACAAATTGTATTTAAATGTATATGAATTGCCTCTGGCATGATTGTATATGTTTATGATCATTGTTGAATAAATCAAATCAAAGCAACAACTTACAGCACCCTAGCAACCGTAAAACAACATTTAGCCTACAAGCCATATCTCAGCACCAAAACATTGTAAAAAAAAGTATAATATTGCAACATATATAAGCCATATTACAGCTCCACAACATCGCACAGACATGGTTGTTGGTTTTGTCACTGAAAGCACCACTCACACTTTCCTCAGGAAATGTACATTATCTGTCAGTCTGATCAAAACGGCCGCTGTCAGGACAATCCTCACGCTCACGGACAGAAACCTGTGGACGGCACCGGTCATGTGACCTCACAGCGGTCATGTGACCTCACAACACGGTCATGTGACCTCAAAACACAGCAAACATATGAAGGTGGACTCACAACACGGTCATGTGACCTGACAACACGGTCACGTGACCTCACAACACGGTCATGTGACCTCACAACACGGCAAACATATGAAGGTGGACTCACAACACGGTCATGTGACCTGACAACACGGTCACGTGACCTCACAACACGATCATGTGACCTCACAACACGGTCATGTGACCTCACAACACGGTCCTGTGACCTCAAAACACAGCAAACATATGAAGGTGGACTCACAACACGGTCATGTGACCTCACAACACTGCAAACATATGAAGGTGGACTCACAACACTGCAAACATATGAAGGTGGACTCACAACACGGTCATGTGACCTGACAACACGGTCACGTGACCTCACAACACGATCATGTGACCTCACAACACGGTCATGTGACCTCACAACACTGCAAACATATGAAGGTGGACTCACAACACGGTCACGTGACCTGACAACACGGTCATGTGACCTCACAACACGGTCATGTGACCTCACAACACTGCAAACATATGAAGGTGGACTCACAACACGGTCATGTGACCTGACAACACGGTCACGTGACCTCACAACACTGCAAACATATGAAGGTGGACTCACAACACTGCAAACATATGAAGGTGGACTCACAACACGGTCATGTGACCTGACAACACGGTCACGTGACCTCACAACACGATCATGTGACCTCACAACACGGTCATGTGACCTCACAACACTGCAAACATATGAAGGTGGACTCACAACACGGTCACGTGACCTCACAACACGGTCATGTGACCTGACAACACGGTCATGTGACCTGACAACACGGTCATGTGACCTCACAACACGGTCACGTGACCTGACAACACGGTCATGTGACCTCACAACACGGTCATGTGACCTCACAACACGGTCATGTGACCTGACCACAAACGCATGAGCCTGGACTGACCGTGGACGGTGAACACATTGCAGTTCTGCGCTCCGGGCCGCGACGCCTCCCGCTTCCCCGAGGCCTTGATGAAGGGCAGCGCCGGCAGACTCGGTCTCCGCTGGTCCCCGACGGGCTTCCCCGGCTGCTGCCCCATAAGGGCCCGACACACACACACACACACACCGGATCCCGGTCCCGACGAGTCAGAGTCCAGCGCCGGTCACGGATCCAGATCCAGAAGCCTGTGCGGGTCTGATCACAGAGCAGATCACACGTTTAAAAGCTTAAAGTGCATAAGAGTAGACATAAGCTGTGTCCCAAACGACACACATGCACTTATACACTATGTACGAGTCGTGTAGTGTATGAACTTTATACGTTTATTTTGTCTTTCAACATCGGAGTCTGACAGCCCCGCCCCCTCCGCTACGACAGTCGAGTGCGTGAAGTGGCCAGCGCTCCACACTTCGGTTTTTCGGTTAAATAAGTGCATTATCCGGGTATTTAAAGTGCACTTTTTATTTTTAGAATTTTAAGTGTGAACGCAGTACTCGCACTATTTATACTACAAAATGGCGTAGAATAGTGTACAAGTACGCGATTTGGGACGCAGCTTATATTCAATTCACATGATGTATTTGTATAGCGCTTTTCACAATACACAACATTTCAAAGCAGCTTTACAGAAAATGTCCACATTACAATTTAGAGTGATCTGTTATCAGAGGACACTGTCTAAGTTATGTATTTCATAAATGTACATAAGTTACCTCTGATAACAGATCATACAAAACATACAAAAAGCAGGAAGTGTGGGATTAACAGTAATAATAATAATGTCATTCTCACGTGTCAGAGGAGGACGAAACATCAGTCTTCAGGGTGATGACGTCACTGGAACCTCCACATGATCAACAGAAACTCTGAGAAGGGTTGAGCTGTCAATCATAGTGACGTCACGCGAATATGTATCTCCTGGCACGTGTCAATAATTCGCTCAGATATGCTGATGTGCATGAAACTATAGTCAATTATCATCGTTATTCACTTGGAAGAAATGTCCCAACAATAACTTTTTAAATAGCAGATCTTCGATTGTGATTGTGGCAAGACTGGTTAGTAGTGTCATTCAGTACATAACTGTTACTACATGTAGTAATAACTATTTAATTACGTTTGCAGCAGCTGTAAACAAGCACATCGACGTCACTGCGGTAAATAACGTTGATGAGATTTCAGCTAATTAAACACATGGAGGTGTAAAATAGAGTCTGAACTCTCACGGGAACTCCCACACGCGGTGTTATCCCGATTAAACCCTCGGTTCGTGTAACTTTGACGTGTAGTGTATAGTTGGAGTTTGTTGGAGTTGTAGTTGTTAAGTCTCTCGTCACTTCCGCGTGCAGTTCTCTCCCTCTCTCGAGATCCTGAGGCGAATATAAACGCTCTCCGCGCAGTCTTTATGCCTCTCCTGTCGGGCTCGTTTCCTCACCGAACATTCCCTGCACTCTTCCGCAGTTTTTTAGTGTTGATTCTCGCCATGTCTTCCTTTTATTTCATAACTTTCAGCACTTTTCTTGGAGTCGCTCGTCGTCGCAGGAACCGCCATATTCGCGCACGCGAGCTCCGCTCATGACGTCACACACACGCCGAGCTCTTCCGCCAACAATCTTCAGTTTTTTTATTTATTTGTATTTACTTTATTTATTATATATATTTTTTTTATTTTTTGTTTTTTTTTTCTGGGGTATTTCTTTAACTTTTGCTACTTTGTTTGTATTGTTGATTAGCTTCAATAAAGAAAAGAAAAACAATCTTCAGTTCCTTTTTTAATTTTTATACTTTTTTTTATCTCTGCATCTACCAGGCACATTTTTATTGTAGTGGTTTTTTATCTTTATTTTATTTATATTTCCTTGATTTACGTAACTCAATCACACATTGTTTAATTCTTGCAATGTATGATAATGTTCCTTTTCCTTTCATTTAAAAAGTTGTTTATTTCCTTGAACATACTGAAAACTAACTTTTATTTAGAAAAATAAGAAAGCTATAAAAATGTGTCAATATTTGTAAACATTTTGATGCTTTATTCTATTGATTGCGTATTACTTATTTTGGCTTGTTTGGTATGTATATTATTTTTAATTCTTGTGTTTATTTTATTCTTTGTAAAGCACTTCGGTCACTTTGGTTGTGTTTTAAATGTGCTCTAGAAATAAATGATTATTATTATTATATTTTTTTAATAAAGTAATTAGTAATATATAATATAATCAGTATTTTGTATCGTGATTAAAGCTCTGCCCTCTAGCGGCCTGATCCTGACTGGCACACTATTAAAGGGACAGTTCACCCAAAAATGAAAACATTGGACCCTATTGACTTCCATTGTATTTTTTTATTACACTATGCAAGTCAGTGGGGTCCATCACCTGTGTTATTCAGCAGAACACAGAAACCATACAGGCTTGGAACAACTTGAGGGTGACAGAAGTGTTAAAGTCCCTTTAACACAATATTACTTAACATTACAAACATAAAAGATAAAAATTTCTAAACTATCTTAAGTGGTACGAGATTAAATGCTGGCTAACACGTCTTCCGTAAGGTTTCAGAAGCTGTGCATGATGCGTTTTTGCTAAATAAAAACCACTTGTTTTCTGTCAAATTTATTCAATCCATGAGTTTTCATTTGTGGGTGTACTGTCCCTTTAACACAATAATACTTGACATTACAATTACATGATGATATACAATCATATAAAGCTTTCTAAAGTATCTTAAGAAGTGAACTATCACACTTCCTTCCGTAAGGTTTCAGAAGCTGTGCATGATGCGTTTTTGTTTGTACGAGAAACAATAAAAGCCACTTTTTTTCTGTCAAATGCATTTATTTATTATTATTAGGGTTTGCATGAAAGTGTGTGTTTCATCCCTCGTGCTCGAGCAGGCGCTGCCGCGTCTCCAGAACGATCTCCTCCATGGTCTCCGGCTTCAGGATGTCTTTAATCTGCAAGGAAACACAGATGTGATGCTTCACTCCTCATGAGCGTTCACACCGAGGTGAACGAGGTTATAATACCCTGAGGTGAACGAGGTTATAATACCCTGAGGTGAACGAGGTTATAATACCCTGAGGTGAACGAGGTTATAATACCCTGAGGTGAACAACGTTATAATACCCTGAGGTGAACGAGGTTATAATACCCTGAGGTGAACGAGGTTATAATACCCTGAGGTGAACGAGGTTATAATACCCTGAGGTGAACGAGGTTATAATACCCTGAGGTGAACGAGGTTATAATACCCTGAGGTGAACGAGGTTATAATACCCTGAGGTGAACGAGGTTATAATACCCTGAGGTGAACGAGGTTATAATACCTGAGGTGAACGAGGTTATAATACCCTGAGGTGAACGAGGTTATAATACCCTGAGGTGAACGAGGTTATAATACCCTGAGGTGAACGAGGTTATAATACCCTGAGGTGAACGAGGTTATAATACCCTGAGGTGAACGAGGTTATAATACCCTGAGGTGAACGAGGTTATAATACCTGAGGTGAACGAGGTTATAATACCCTGAGGTGAACGAGGTTATAATACCCTGAGGTGAACGAGGTTATAATACCCTGAGGTGAACGAGGTTATAATACCTGAGGTGAACGAGGTTATAATACCCTGAGGTGAACGAGGTTATAATACCTGAGGTGAACGAGGTTATAATACCTGAGGTGAACGAGGTTATAATACCCTGAGGTGAACGAGGTTATAATACCCTGAGGTGAACGAGGTTATAATACCCTGAGGTGAACGAGGTTATAATACCCGAGGTGAACGAGGTTATAATACCCTGAGGTGAACGAGGTTATAATACCTGAGGTGAACGAGGTTATAATACCCTGAGGTGAACGAGGTTATAATACCTGAGGTGAACGAGGTTATAATACCCTGAGGGGAACGAGGTTATAATACCCTGAGGTGAACGAGGTTATAATACCCTGAGGTGAACGAGGTTATAATACCCTGAGGTGAACGAGGTTATAATACCCTGAGGTGAACGAGGTTATAATACCCTGAGGTGAACGAGGTTATAATACCCTGAGGTGAACGAGGTTATAATACCCTGAGGTGAACGAGGTTATAATACCCTGAGGTGAACGAGGTTATAATACCCTGAGGTGAACGAGGTTATAATACCCTGAGGTGAACGAGGTTATAATACCCTGAGGTGAACGAGGTTATAATACCCTGAGGTGAACGAGGTTATAATACCTGAGGTGAACGAGGTTATAATATCCTGAGGTGAACGAGGTTATAATACCCTGAGGTGAACGAGGTTATAATACCCTGAGGTGAACGAGGTTATAATACCCTGAGGTGAACGAGGTTATAATACATGAGGTGAACGAGGTTATAATACCTGAGGTGAACGAGGTTATAATACCTGAGGTGAACGAGGTTATAATACCCTGAGGTGAACGAGGTTATAATACCCTGAGGTGAACGAGGTTATAATACCCTGAGGTGAACGAGGTTATAATACCCTGAGGTGAACGAGGTTATAATACCCTGAGGTGAACGAGGTTATAATACCTGAGGTGAACGAGGTTATAATACCCTGAGGTGAACGAGGTTATAATACCCTGAGGTGAACGAGGTTATAATACCGTGAGGTGAACGAGGTTATAATACCCTGAGGTGAACGAGGTTATAATACCTGAGGTGAACGAGGTTATAATACCCTGAGGTGAACGAGGTTATAATACCCTGAGGTGAACGAGGTTATAATACCCTGAGGTGAACGAGGTTATAATACCTGAGGTGAACGAGGTTATAATACCCTGAGGTGAACGAGGTTATAATACCCTGAGGTGAACGAGGTTATAATACCTGAGGTGAACGAGGTTATAATATCCTGAGGTGAACGAGGTTATAATACCTGAGGTGAACGAGGTTATAATACCTGAGGTGAACGAGGTTATAATACCTGAGGTGAACGAGGTTATAATACCCTGAGGTGAACGAGGTTATAATACCCTGAGGTGAACGAGGTTATAATACCCTGAGGTGAACGAGGTTATAATACCCTGAGGTGAACGAGGTTATAATACCCTGAGGTGAACGAGGTTATAATACCCGAGGTGAACGAGGTTATAATACCCTGAGGTGAACGAGGTTTTAATACCCTGAGGTGAACGAGGTTATAATACCCTGAGGTGAACGAGGTTATAATAACCCTGAGGTGAACGAGGTTATAATACCTGAGGTGAACGAGGTTATAATACCCTGAGGTGAACGAGGTTATCATACCCTGAGGTGAACGAGGTTATAATACCCTGAGGTGAACGAGGTTATAATACCGAGGTGAACGAGGTTATAATACCCTGAGGTGAACGAGGTTATAATACCTGAGGTGAACGAGGTTATAATACCCTGAGGTGAACGAGGTTATAATACCCTGAGGTGAACGAGGTTATAATACCCTGAGGTGAACGAGGTTATAATACCCTGAGGTGAACGAGGTTATAATACCTGAGGTGAACGAGGTTATAATACCCTGAGGTGAACGAGGTGAACGAGGTTATAATACCCTGAGGTGAACGAGGTTATCATACCCTGAGGTGAACGAGGTTATAATACCCTGAGGTGAACGAGGTTATAATACCTGAGGTGAACGAGGTTATAATACCCTGAGGTGAACGAGGTTATAATACCCTGAGGTGAACGAGGTTATAATACCCTGAGGTGAACGAGGTTATAATACCCTGAGGTGAACGAGGTTATAATACCCTGAGGTGAACGAGGTTATAATACCCTGAGGTGAACGAGGTTATAATACCCTGAGGTGAACGAGGTTATAATACCCTGAGGTGAACGAGGTTATAATACCCTGAGGTGAACGAGGTTATAATACCCTGAGGTGAACGAGGTTATAATACCTGAGGTGAACGAGGTTATAATACCCTGAGGTGAACGAGGTTATAATACCCTGAGGTGAACGAGGTTATAATACCCTGAGGTGAACGAGGTTATAATACCCTGAGGTGAACGAGGTTATAATACCCTGAGGGGAACGAGGTTATAATACCCTGAGGTGAACGAGGTTATAATACCCTGAGGTGAACGAGGTTATAATACCCTGAGGTGAACGAGGTTATAATACCCTGAGGTGAACGAGGTTATAATACCTGAGGTGAACGAGGTTATAATACCCTGAGGTGAACGAGGTTATAATACCTGAGGTGAACGAGGTTATAATACCCTGAGGTGAACGAGGTTATAATACCCTGAGGTGAACGAGGTTATAATACCCTGAGGTGAACGAGGTTATAATACCCTGAGGTGAACGAGGTTATAATACCCTGAGGTGAACGAGGTTATAATACCCTGAGGTGAACGAGGTTATAATACCCTGAGGTGAACGAGGTTATAATACCCTGAGGTGAACGAGGTTATAATAACCTGAGGTGAACGAGGTTATAATACCTGAGGTGAACGAGGTTATAATACCCTGAGGTGAACGAGGTTATAATACCCTGAGGTGAACGAGGTTATAATACCCTGAGGTGAACGAGGTTATAATACCTGAGGTGAACGAGGTTATAATACCCTGAGGTGAACGAGGTTATAATACCCTGAGGTGAACGAGGTTATAATACCTGAGGTGAACGAGGTTATAATACCCTGAGGGGAACGAGGTTATAATACCCTGAGGTGAACGAGGTTATAATACCTGAGGTGAACGAGGTTATAATACCCTGAGGTGAACGAGGTTATAATACCCTGAGGTGAACGAGGTTATAATACCTGAGGTGAACGAGGTTATAATATCCTGAGGTGAACGAGGTTATAATACCCTGAGGTGAACGAGGTTATAATACCCTGAGGTGAACGAGGTTATAATACCTGAGGTGAACGAGGTTATAATACCTGAGGTGAACGAGGTTATAATACCCTGAGGTGAACGAGGTTATAATACCCTGAGGTGAACGAGGTTATAATACCCTGAGGTGAACGAGGTTATAATACCCTGAGGTGAACGAGGTTATAATACCTGAGGTGAACGAGGTTATAATACCCTGAGGTGAACGAGGTTATAATACCCTAAGGTGAACGAGGTTATAATACCCTGAGGTGAACGAGGTTATAATACCCTGAGGTGAACGAGGTTATAATACCTGAGGTGAACGAGGTTATAATACCCTGAGGTGAACGAGGTTATAATACCCTGAGGTGAACGAGGTTATAATACCTGAGGTGAACGAGGTTATAATACCCTGAGGGGAACGAGGTTATAATACCCTGAGGTGAACGAGGTTATAATACCCTGAGGTGAACGAGGTTATAATACCTGAGGTGAACGAGGTTATAATACCCTGAGGTGAACGAGGTTATAATACCCTGAGGTGAACGAGGTTATAATACCTGAGGTGAACGAGGTTATAATATCCTGAGGTGAACGAGGTTATAATACCCTGAGGTGAACGAGGTTATAATACCCTGAGGTGAACGAGGTTATAATACCTGAGGTGAACGAGGTTATAATACCTGAGGTGAACGAGGTTATAATACCCTGAGGTGAACGAGGTTATAATACCCTGAGGTGAACGAGGTTATAATACCCTGAGGTGAACGAGGTTATAATACCCTGAGGTGAACGAGGTTATAATACCCTGAGGTGAACGAGGTTATAATACCCTGAGGTGAACGAGGTTATAATATCCTGAGGTGAACGAGGTTATAATACCTGAGGTGAACGAGGTTATAATACCCTGAGGTGAACGAGGTTATAATACCTGAGGTGAACGAGGTGAACGAGGTTATAATACCCTGAGGTGAACGAGGTTATAATACCCTGAGGTGAACGAGGTTATAATACCCTGAGGTGAACGAGGTTATAATATCCTGAGGTGAACGAGGTTATAATACCCTGAGGTGAACGAGGTTATAATACCTGAGGTGAACGAGGTTATAATACCTGAGGTGAACGAGGTTATAATACCCTGAGGTGAACGAGGTTATAATACCCTGAGGTGAACGAGGTTATAATACCCTGAGGTGAACGAGGTTATAATACCCTGAGGTGAACGAGGTTATAATACCCTGAGGTGAACGAGGTTATAATACCCTGAGGTGAACGAGGTTATAATACCCTGAGGTGAACGAGGTTATAATACCTTGAGGTGAACGAGGTTATAATACCCTGAGGTGAACGAGGTTATAATACCCTGAGGTGAACGAGGTTATAATACCCTGAGGTGAACGAGGTTATAATACCCTGAGGTGAACGAGGTTATAATACCCTGAGGTGAACGAGGTTATAATACCCTGAGGTGAACGAGGTGAACGAGGTTATAATACCCTGAGGTGAACGAGGTTATAATACCCTGAGGTGAACGAGGTTATAATACCCTGGGGTGAACGAGGTTATAATACCCTGAGGTGAACGAGGTTATAATACCCTGAGGTGAACGAGGTTATAATACCCTGAGGTGAACGAGGTTATAATACCCTGAGGTGAACGAGGTTATAATACCCTGAGGTGAACGAGGTTATAATACCCTGAGGTGAACGAGGTTATAATACCCTGAGGTGAACGAGGTTATAATACCTGAGGTGAACGAGGTTATAATACCTGAGGTGAACGAGGTTATAATACCCTGAGGTGAACGAGGTTATAATACCCTGAGGTGAACGAGGTTATAATACCCTGAGGTGAACGAGGTTATAATACCCTGAGGTGAACGAGGTTATAATACCCTGGGGTGAACGAGGTTATAATACCCTGAGGTGAACGAGGTTATAATACCCTGAGGTGAACGAGGTTATAATACCCTGAGGTGAACGAGGTTATAATACCCTGGGGTGAACGAGGTTATAATACCCTGAGGTGAACGAGGTTATAATACCCTGAGGTGAACGAGGTTATAATACCCTGAGGTGAACGAGGTTATAATACCCTGAGGTGAACGAGGTTATAATACCCTGGGGTGAACGAGGTTATAATACCTGAGGTGAACGAGGTTATAATACCCTGGGGTGAACGAGGTTATAATACCTGAGGTGAACGAGGTTATAATACCCTGAGGTGAACGAGGTTATAATACCTTGTGTGGGAGAGCCGCTTCGTAGCAGTAAAGCACGCTGGTGTCGTACAGCAAGACCTTATGAGCGGCGAGAGCCAACAGGCAGTTCCTGAGCCGCGAGATCACCTCCCGATCCGACACCGACACCGGCTGAACAGAGACACGTCAGTGACCGTGTGTGGGAGATATCAGGAATCAGATACTTGTTATAACATTAAAATTTCGATTCCTCTTATCGATTCCTCTGTGAGCGTCTCAATATGAGTGTGAAGCGTTGGAGCGCGAGAGACTCTGTGTTCTGTCCTCATGTGTATCAGTGTATCGGACCCGTGCGGCTCTTAAAGTGACAGCACTGATATTCCTGCCGTCTCTATAATAACACTAATCACACAACAGAAGACTGAGAACACACACTCGCTCTAGACTGGATAACTTTTGTAACTATAATGTATATTTTATTTATAAAGTGCAGTGTTATTTTACATTCGATTACAGTTTCTGCACCTGAAAATCTTAAAACACTGTTTATTTCAATCGTATCTTTGTTCAGTTGTGTCTATTTGATGCGATTGCTAATTTTGTATTTGTTATTTTTTAAGTGTTTACCTGTCTTTAATAATGCTAGAAATGTATATTAGTTCGGCTAGTTGTTTTCTATGGTGTTTTTAAACCACAGGCAAACGCTGATTTCTGTTGATGATATTCAGCAACAATTAAATGTTTTGAAATAAATGTGAATGATTTCCAAGTTACTTTTTTTACCTTATTGGAATAGAAATTAGGAATCGATAAGCAGAATCGGAATCAGAATCGTTAAATGTCAACCGATCCCCAGCGCTAGTGCTATCACAGAGATGCTAAAGCAGAGTTATGGACCTCCATGCTGGTGTAGAAGCCGCCGGCCTCCTCGTCCTGCGTCTCCGGCGTGGGATAGAGCCACACGTACCCGTTGTTCCCCAGGATCACGGACGCGCCGCAGGGCAGGTTGTGGAAGTGCGTCTTCTGCCTCTTCACCAGCGACGGGGAGACGAGCACCAGCACTCCCTGACCCAGCTGAAACACAGGCACTCTCTACATCAGTGCTCCTGAACGCCTGAACGCCTCCGCTAGCCTCGAGCTTCTCCCTCATTATAATAATTAATGCGCAGAATAAAGGGGCGGGGCCTGGTTGAGTTAGTCAGTAGTGTGTTAAACTGGCGGTTATGGAAAGGGGCGGGGCATTTCCCAAACACACTCGAAGCGTTCGACCAATCACAACACACTGCTCCAGCCGACCAATCAGAGCACAGTGTGCTTTTCAGGAGGAGCGGCTTCATAGAGACAGGAAGTAAACAGAGCGTTACTGACAGACTGGGAAGAGAGGAGCCGCACCAGTGGAGAATATGAGGAAATACAGCTTTGTTTCTCACCTTGCCGTACTTTAAGCTGCGTGTGTGCAGAGAGAGCGCGCCGTCCGAGAAGATCGACTGAACCTCGGCCTGAGGGCGGTTAAAGAACACAGCTGGAAATCACAACGATGATCACCTCAAACTGACGGAGGAGAGGAGCCAACCACTCCAAAACAAGCCGTTTCAGGTGGAACTAACTATTACATTTCAATAAAAGACTATGACAAACTGTTATTGCTTTGGAATCAGTGTTATTTCAAGATTATGTTTATACTATTATAGTATTTATTCATATTTTGAATTGGCTTGATTTCTATATTTTCAGTTTAATTCTAGCTCAAGTTTTTTTGTTACATGCATTTGTTATATTTAATACTTTTGTATATTTCTGTTTAGCTTTATTTATATTTCAGTATTAGATCGAATATTTTTTGTTATATGCTTTAGTCATTTTTTGTTAGTTTTGATTTGTAATATATCTATTTAGCCTTATTTCAGTTTTAGTATTTTTATGCGCTTTAGTAAATTTTACAATACTTTTTATTGAAGTTTTAGTGATTTTGTTATGCGCTTTTTGTTAGTTTTGTTAGTTTTCTTATTTCATATTTCTGTTTAGCTTAAGACTTTAGCATAAGTTTTCATCTAATAGTTATATTGTCGATCTGCACGATTCTGGATAAATTGAGAATCACGATTTTGTTGTTTCAAAGACAGATCACGATTCTGAACAGACAACTAAACAAAATAACATGTAACTTACTATCATTCTGACAAAATGTTAATTGCTGCAGTCAATTTAAAAAAAAACGAATTAATTTGAATTATTTAAAATAAAATAAAAAGGTTGAGTGAATGATTCAATGACTCTCTCGTTTCATTACTGATGAATCAGTGTTTTTGAACGAATCTCTCGAGTGAATGATTCAGTGAGTCGCTGTTAAAGGTGAACACTATTGTAGACATCAGAGTTTATATCCAACTATAAACTTTTATTCCAGTACTTGTGTGATAATTGAGTTATTGTAAGACAGAAATAATGATAATGTGTGGCTGAAAATACTTTCATAATGCGGTTTGTAATAATATATGCTGAAGGAGTCAGAGATGATGATGATGATGATGATGAAGGATACGCTGATGAGATCTCCTTCCTGAAGATAATCCCTCATGGCCAGCTCATCCTGCGTCGACCGCCGTCTCTGACACACACACACAACACACATCCACACACTTTACTGCACCGATTCAGCGCTGCTCAGATGAGCTCACAATCAGTGTATTATATATCATGTGCATTATATCTCATGTGTGTTATATATCATGTGTGTTATATCTCATGTGTGTTATATCTCATGTGCATTATATCTCATGTGCGTTATATCTCATGTGTGTTATATCTCATGTGTGTTATATCTCATGTGTGTTATATCTCATGTGTGTTATATCTCATGTGTGTTATATCTCATGTGTGTTATATATCATGTGTGTTATATCTCATGTGTGTTATATCTCATGTGTGTTATATCTCATGTGTGTTATATCTCATGTGCATTATATCTCATGTGTGTTATATATCATGTGCGTTATATCTCATGTGCATTATATCTCATGTGCATTATATCTCATGTGCGTTATATCTCATGTGTGTTATATCTCATGTGTGTTATATCTCATGTGTGTTATATATCATGTGTGTTATATATCATGTGTGTTATATCTCATGTGTATTATATCTCATGTGTATTATATCTCATGTGTGTTATATCTCATGTGTGTTATATCTCATGTGTGTTATATCTCATGTGTGTTATATCTCATGTGTGTTATATCTCATGTGTGTTATATCTCATGTGTGTTATATCTCATGTGTGTTATATCTCATGTGTGTTATATCTCATGTGTGTTATATATCATGTGTGTTATATCTCATGTGTATTATATCTCATGTGTATTATATCTCATGTGTGTTATATCTCATGTGTGTTATATCTCATGTGTGTTATATCTCATGTGTGTTATATCTCATGTGTGTTATATCTCATGTGTGTTATATATCATGTGCGTTATATCTCATGTGCGTTATATCTCATGTGTGTTATATCTCATGTGTGTTATATCTCATGTGTGTTATATCTCATGTGTGTTATATCTCATGTGTGTTATATCTCATGTGTGTTATATCTCATGTGTGTTATATCTCATGTGTGTTATATATCATGTGTGTTATATCTCATGTGTGTTATATCTCATGTGTGTTATATCTCATGTGTGTTATATCTCATGTGTGTTATATCTCATGTGTGTTATATCTCATGTGTGTTATATCTCATGTGTGTTATATCTCATGTGTGTTATATCTCATGTGTGTTATATCTCATGTGTGTTATATCTCATGTGTGTTATATCTCATGTGCATTATATATCATGTGCGTTATATCTCATGTGTGTTATATCTCATGTGTGTTATATCTCATGTGTGTTATATCTCATGTGTGTTATATCTCATGTGTGTTATATCTCATGTGCATTATATATCATGTGCGTTATATCTCATGTGTGTTATATCTCATGTGTGTTATATCTCATGTGTGTTATATCTCATGTGTGTTATATCTCATGTGTGTTATATCTCATGTGTGTTATATCTCATGTGTGTTATATCTCATGTGTGTTATATCTCATGTGTGTTATATCTCATGTGCGTTATATATCATGTGCGTTATATCTCATGTGTGTTATATCTCATGTGTGTTATATCTCATGTGTGTTATATCTCATGTGCATTATATATCATGTGCGTTATATCTCATGTGCGTTATATCTCATGTGCGTTATATATCATGTGTGTTATATCTCATGTGTGTTATATCTCATGTGTGTTATATCTCATGTGTGTTATATCTCATGTGTGTTATATCTCATGTGTGTTATATCTCATGTGTGTTATATCTCATGTGTGTTATATCTCATGTGTGTTATATCTCATGTGTGTTATATCTCATGTGTGTTATATCTCATGTGTGTTATATCTCATGTGTGTTATATCTCATGTGTGTTATATCTCATGTGTGTTATATCTCATGTGTGTTATATCTCATGTGTATTATATCTCATGTGTGTTATATCTCATGTGTGTTATATCTCATGTGTGTTATATCTCATGTGTGTTATATCTCATGTGTGTTATATCTCATGTGTGTTATATCTCATGTGTGTTATATCTCATGTGTGTTATATCTCATGTGTGTTATATCTCATGTGTGTTATATATCATCTGCGTTATATCTCATGTGTGTTAAATCTCATGTGTGTTATATATCATGTGTGTTATATCTCATGTGTGTTATATCTCATGTGTGTTATATCTCATGTGTATTATATCTCATGTGTGTTAAATCTCATGTGTGTTATATCTCATGTGTGTTATATCTCATGTGTGTTAAATCTCATGTGTGTTATATCTCATGTGTGTTATATCTCATGTGTGTTATATCTCATGTGTGTTATATCTCATGTGTATTATATCTCATGTGTGTTAAATCTCATGTGTGTTATATATCATGTGTGTTATATCTCATGTGTGTTATATCTCATGTGTATTATATATCATGTGTGTTATATATCATGTGTGTTATATCTCATGTGTGTTATATCTCATGTGTGTTATATCTCATGTGTGTTATATCTCATGTGTGTTATATCTCATGTGTGTTATATCTCATGTGTGTTATATCTCATGTGTGTTATATCTCATGTGTGTTATATCTCATGTGTGTTATATCTCATGTGTGTTATATCTCATGTGTGTTATATCTCATGTGTGTTATATCTCATGTGTGTTATATCTCATGTGTGTTATATCTCATGTGTGTTATATCTCATGTGTGTTATATCTCATGTGTGTTATATCTCATGTGTGTTATATCTCATGTGCGTTATATCTCATGTGTGTTATATCTCATGTGTGTTATATCTCATGTGTGTTATATCTCATGTGTGTTATATCTCATGTGTGTTATATCTCATGTGTGTTATATCTCATGTGTGTTATATCTCATGTGTGTTATATCTCATGTTTGTTATATCTCATGTGTGTTATATCTCATGTGTGTTATATCTCATGTGTGTTATATCTCATGTGTGTTATATCTCATGTGTGTTATATCTCATGTGTGTTATATCTCATGTGTGTTATATATCATGTGTGTTATATCTCATGTGTGTTATATCTCATGTGTGTTATATCTCATGTGTGTTATATCTCATGTGTGTTATATCTCATGTGTGTTATATCTCATGTTTGTTATATCTCATGTGTGTTATATCTCATGTGTGTTATATCTCATGTGTGTTATATCTCATGTGTATTATATCTCATGTGTGTTATATCTCATGTGTGTTATATCTCATGTGTGTTATATCTCATGTGTGTTATATCTCATGTGTGTTATATCTCATGTGTGTTATATATCATGTGTGTTATATCTCATGTGTATTATATCTCATGTGTATTATATCTCATGTGTGTTATATCTCATGTGTGTTATATCTCATGTGTATTATATCTCATGTGTATCATGAAGCGGTGTCTCACCAGCTCTCCTCCGGGCAGATTGACCGACGACAGCAGCAACACTGAATCTAGACGCGAATTTGTCTCGACTTTCCATCGTTTCTGCTGCACCTGTTGTTATAGACACACACACACGTGATCAGAGACACACACACACACGTGATCAGAGACACACACACACACGTGATCAGAGACACACACACACACGTGATCAGAGACACACACACACACGTGATCAGAGACACACACACACACGTGATCAGAGACACACACACACACGTGATCAGAGACACACACACACACGTGATGATCAGAGAGACACACACACACACACGTGATGATCAGAGAGACACACACACACACACACACACACGTG